GAAGGAAGGAAGGAAGGAAGGAAGGAAGGAAGGAAGGAAGGAAGGAAAAGGAAGGAAAGGAAGGAAGGAAAAGAGAGGGAGGAAGGAAGGAAGGAAAGAAGGAAAATGGAGGGAGGAAGGAAAGAGGGAAAGGAAGGAAGGAAAAGAAAGGAAGGAAAGAAGAAAGGAAGGAAAAGAGGGAGGGAGGAAGTGGGAGGGAAGAAGGGAGGGAAGAAGGAAAAAGGAGGGAGGGACAGAGGAAGGAAAAAGGAGGGAGGAAGGAAAGAAAGAAAAGGGAGGGAGGGAGAAAAAAAGGGAGGGAGGGAGGAAGAAAGGGAGGAAAAGGGTGGAAGGGAGGAAGGAAAAGGGAGGAAGAGAGGGAGGGAGGAATTCTCCACAACACTATTCATTACAGGGATTGAGTTACTCATTTCCTATCTTCTTTGAAGGTGTCCAATTGTCAGGTGGAGCGTTTGTCCTTCCTCCGTCTGCTGACCAAGTTTTCCCTGTTTGGCACTCACTCTCTTTGCTGGATCTTCTTCTGTTCCTAGCAGGACGAGGGAGATTCCCGCTGGAAGGAGAGACAGGGATAAAGAAAGGGGACCCTTCACACTCCCTTCTTCCCACCCCCAGACCACAATTAGGGGAGGGGGGAGTCAGCCTGGAGCGGCAGTGGGGAAGGGGAGAGGAGCGAGAGCCGGAGAAGTATCAGGGCCTCGTGCACCACTATTCATTTTGCAAACTATAATTAATTTGATGTTTAGATTAATATCCGATGCGCTCTCAAAGGTGCACACAAAGCATTTTTCCTTTATTATAATGTTGATTGCTTATTGGGGAGATAAATTTCATTGTCAAGGAATCCCCCGACTTAACAAAACTTTTAGTCTTAGCTGGCATGTCTGCAACAAAGAGCAGAAGTGGGTGCTTTCACCACTCCGGGCTTGGGCCTGGCGATCCCGACCAGGAAAGGGCACTTAGAAGGGGCAGCGACCACCTGGCATTATCCGGTGGCTAATTGGATGGATGGAGGGATGGGTAGACAGACAGACAGACAGACAGACAGACAGATGATAGATGGATGGATGGATAGATAGATACATAGCTAGAGAGAGAGAGAGAGAGAGAGAGAGAGAAACAGACAGACAGATAGACAGATAGAAATATGATAAAGGATGGATGGATGGATAGATGATAGATAGATAGATAGATAGATAGATAGATAGATAGATAGATAGATAGATAGATAGATAGATGTAAGTAGGTAGGTAGATAGATAGAT